AGAATAGGTATTTGAAAGAAAACCTGTCCAAATTTTCATTTTAAAAAGAATGATGAAAATATATATTTTTTAATCCTCACCTGAGGACATTTTTCTATTTTTTATTCAGATAGAGAGGGAGGGAGGGAGGGAGGGAGAGAAACATCGATGTGAAAGGGACACATCGAGTGGCTGCCACCCGCACGACCAACCAGGGCCGGGGACAAACTGCAACCGAAGTACATGCCTTAGCGGGAACCGAACCTGGGTCTCTCTGGACTGCAGGCTGACGCTCTAACCGCTGAGCCAAACCGGCCAGGGTGATGAAAATATTCTCTAAAAACCAAGTACAGCCCTGGCCAGGTTTGCTCAGTGGTGAGAGTGTCCGCCCAAGGCCCGAAGAGTCTCGCGTTTGGTTCCCAGTCAAGGGCACAGATCTGAGTTGCAGGCTGGATCCCTGGCCCCAGTCAGTGTCATGCGGGACGCAGCCAAATGATGTGTCTCTCTCACCTCAATGTTTCTCTCTCTCTCTCTCCCCCTCACTCCCTTCCACTCTCTCTAAAAATCAATGGAAAAAATCCTCAGGTGAAGATTAACAACAACAAAATCAAGCACAGATTTCTTTAGCATCAGGTTCTCTTCTGAACGCCTAAACTCTTCATAAGTCTTCGTAGAAGGCCCCTTCTGTAGGGTTAGTCATTGTGTTGGGTGCCAGGGATAAGATGATACAATCACAGCTCTTTGTAAAAATGCGCTTCTAAAGAAAAAAATAACTCACAGACACAGACAACAGCGGTGATTTCCAGAGGAAAAGCGGGGGATGGGGGAGGTAGAAGGGGGCAAAGCCCGGTAAATGGTGATGGAAGGAGACTTGACTTGGGGTGGTGAACGCACAAGACAATATACAGGTGCTGTATTATAGAATTGTACACCTGAAACCATTATTAACCAAGTCACCCCAACACACTCAATGACAAATGTTAAAATAAATAAATAAATAAAAGGCACTCATAATCGGCAAGAAGAGGCAGTCACCGAAACAAATAAATGATGCCCAAGTCGTAAACGCTGCGATGAGGTGAACACCAGGCGCCGTGGGGGCCGAGGCTCCAGTGACCCCGGGACCGGCACACGCCCTGCAGGGAGACTTCTGGGGGGAAGACGATGGTGGAGCTGGTCGTAAAGCCTGGGAGCAGATGGCAGGTGGGGGGGGGGCGGGGACAGGAGACGTCTGAACGAGGAGGACCGCGTGTGCTCACGCTAAGGGAGCAAACGTCTCGGAGACGATCCCTCCAGATGCTGGAGGTAGCAGCCAGTGACCACGGGGCGGCTGGAGAAGAACTCGGAGGCCGGAGGGCGAAGCCACCTCCGCGAATGGGTGGAAGTCTGTCAAGACCGAAGGAGCCAGCGAGTGACCGTGACCACGGGCAGAACAGACATCTGTGCTTGGCGGCTCCTCCGACAGCGGGCGGAGGCGGCCTGAGGGCGGCCAACCGGTGGAAGGATCAGCGAGGAGGCCCGGGACTAGTTTCGTTTCCATGAAAGCTGCTGGGGCCTGAGGACAGAGTCGCTGCAGAGGACCGCAGGGCAGGCAGTCCCGGGAGGGAGGCTCGGCTGGTACAGCCTTGGGGACGGAGGATGTTCCCGTGGCAGCCGGACTGAGCGAGGACAGCGGCCGGAGAGGAAAACCGGGAGCCGGCGCTGCAGGGCTCGGTGCGCGGGGGCAGGGAGCGCAGGGCCGTGGAGAGGGGCCGCTCCAGAGAGAGGGGTCGGGCCTCCGGGGTCAGAGCTCCCTTCGATTTGGGGAGCGGGTCTCTGGCTGGCCATGCCGTCACTGTTCCTGCAGAGCGGTGGGAGGGTGGGGGTCACATCCCCCAGGCTGAAGGAATTAACGGGAGGTGACGGAGTCAGGGGAGCTGGCAGAAACCGCTTTCCCCAGGAGGCAGGCCATGAAGAGCCGGGGAGGGTGAGGGCAGAGCGCAGGTCCTTTGCTCTTGCTGTTACTGCTTTCAAGTTAGGAGACACAAACAGGCTTATATACTCTCTCTCTCTCTCTCTTTTTAATGTGATGGAGGTGATGATGCAGGAAATAAGAGAATCAAACAGTAAGTTCCTAAGGAGGGTGGGAGCCCCGCCCTGGTCAGGGTATCACCCCCCCCCCCAGACAGAGAGGAGGGCGGGGCTGGGAAAACCCTAAGTTTGGGGGTCAGAAGACAGGAAATCGATGTTTGCATGTAGGGTCCCTATTTTCTCTGTAAAATCATTTCTGAGAATAAGGACGAAAGTGATGAACAAAGAGGCTTGAAGAAGGCGCTAACGGTTGAGCGCGGCCGCTGTGAGCGCACAGGACACGGCGATGACGCGCTGCGCATAACGGATGCGTCATGGCACCATCCGCGCAGGGGGATCGTCCACCCAGGCTCTTCAGCAACCGGGCGGAGGGGGAATAAAGACAAATGGGCCATCTGACCAGCCCTGCAGTCTCAACAGGGTGGCGGAGTTGACCCAGGTAGAACTGGAGTGATGGATGGGGAGATGGAAGGCGGGGCACGGCCGGCCAGTGTGCGCTTCTCCGCTCCGGACGCAACCTCGGGGCCGCTAGCGGTTTTGCCTTTGCCGCCGGCGCAGTGGAAAGCTTCGCTGGGCGAGCGCTGGACCTGGAGAGGCCCGGAGGGAGGACGAGGTTTGCTTCGGGTGTGCCCGCTGGGCGGGCTGGCGTGCCCTGGCACCCTGCCCCCTCTGGAACAGCCGTGTGGCAAAGCCCCTCCACTGAGACACAGAGACGCCTCCGCGGATGGTGCTTCCCTCCCGCACGTGTCCGGGAGCCAGTGTCCCGAAGCCCTTTCCTGCATCCAGTGAGTCACGTCTGTGGTCCGGCTCTCGGCCCTGGGCAGGGTCCTCCTCCCCCAGGGCCGCTCAGCACCCGCTTCCTAGCTATAGTCCCTTCATTCAGTCGTTCTCGTCACTTCTCACGGGCCAGTCCCTGCTGACTCCGGGCCCCTGTTGTGGTCAATGAACATTCCCCGTTCACGTCCACGTGCGGTTTCAACTCTCCTCTGATCAGACACAGACGGACAACGATGGTCAGGAAAGAAAAGAAAGCCAGGAGCAGACGGGTAGCTTGGAGAACACCAAGGCCAAAGGGCCTTAAGGAGGACTTTACAGGAAAGTTAAGGCACAATACTGGGGAGCTGCATGAGGAAAAGGAGGCGCATGGCAAATGATTTGGGCCCAGATCCTTTGGGTCTGAGCCAACCAACGCTGTTCAGCGGAGAGAGTTGCAGGGTAAACAGCAATCTTGGGACAGAGCGAGACTTTAAGGCAAACTATAAGATGTTTTGAGAAACAGTACAAATATGCAACCGCTGCTGATCCAGACGGCGTAATGGGAAGGGCAGTTTCAAGGGCGGAGCGCACAGGCCAGGGCACAAGTGTCCGGGGAGACGCTGTCCCCGCCTGTGCCGTCAGGGCTGAATGCTGGCTTCCCGGTAAGGTGGACGCAATGGGAAATGATCAAAGGAAACTGATCATGCATACCATAAACACCTTATGCATAATTCAAAGCATACCCGTGCACACACAAACCGACCTGATGTAAGGCCTGTTCCCTGCACATGACCCTGTCTTCTCTCACATCCGCCACATCCTTCATCTACCATCTCCAGTTTGCTTCCTTCCAAGTGGAGGCAGAAGCTGAACGCAGAGCCTGTCCAGGTTTGAACGACTCCCTCACCTCCTTTAGCGTTATCCCGCCTAGACCTAGTTGACGGCAAAACTTACGCCGCTTGCCCTGGCCAGCTTGGCTCAGCGGTGAGAGCGTTGGCCCTCGGAACGAAGGGTGGCAGGTTCGAGATCCGGTCAGGGGCACCTATCTGGGATGCAGGTTCGGTCCCCGGCCCGGGTCAGAGTCGTGCAGGAGGCAGTCAATGGATGTGTCTCGCTCACATTTATGTTTTTCTCTCTCTCTCTCCCCACCTCCCTTCCGCTCTCTCTAAAAAGCAATGAAAAAAAATATCCTCAGGTGAGGATTAACAACAACATCAAAAATATTACGTAGCTTTCTTTGTATTATATCTTTATCAAGTCTTTTCCAAAACTGAGTCTTCAGAGAAACAAAGTCCGGTCTTTCCTGCATCTGATCCCTTTACTGTTCACTTAAACTACACAGTTAAAATAAGAGCTACAACTGGCTGAACCACAGCATCCTAAACATCATCACTAATTCCCCTCCTGCGTTTTCCAATAGGGGACACCCCTTTCCTGTCCCCAGGGGAGGGGTGGAACCCAGCACAATCCTGCCAAGTTCCTCAGTGAGGGGTCCCCCAGACTGAGAAGTCTCTCCCTCGCCACTCTACAGATGCAATAGGTGTTATAAGGTAGTAATGGCCATTTATAGATTAGCCACTAATGACTGATCAATTACTATGGTTCATCAATGTGTCAAGGGACTGTGGCTCTCAGGCATCATCTTGTTTAATCTGCACTGAGGTAGTAGGTACTACTCTTATCATCCCCATTTCACAGAGAAATTACAAAACTCTAGGGGTTAAGTATGATGCTCAAGGCCACACAGCAAGGGAGTAGCAGAGCCAGGATTCAAATCTAGGTCATGTGACCTCAGAGGCAAAGCTCTTAACTACTGGACCACACTGCCCTTTCCAGAATGTCCAGGTTCGAGTGGAATTCGTGTGCATGTAGGAGAACGTCCTTACCGACGCACACAATGTCAGTGATTCCCTTCCCCCTAACAGTCACCCTCGTCTATGCACCAAAGAAAGGTTAGCTTCGGGCATTCACCTAATTCTTCTAAAGAGATGCTGACCTGCTTCAGCAGCCAACTGGAATGGGGCGATAGGAGACAATAAGCCGTCTATCAGATCGATTCCCACTCAGCGCGTCTCACAACCCTGCCCCTCGAGCAAACACGCCACCCTCTGCGACGAAGTGGAGGGTCAGGCAGAGGGGCGTGCGGCAGGGTGGGAGAGAGGGTCAACCGGACAGGTGCGTGTCGGGAAGCTTACTTTTCTGGTACACTTCTTGACGGTGTTGATCAATTCTTGCATCACCAGATCCACGCTCTTCAAGGAAGGCCCTTTCAGCTTCACAATTTGTTTTTTGACTATCGCCTCAAACGCCATGTCTGGAGTGAACAGCCCTGTCCTGGATGAGAGGAAGGCAGCGGCATATTAGATGGTCTTTTAAGTGAGTCATATCCAGTGCCCAGTTGAAACTGTTTGGCTGACAGGCCACTTAAAGCATATAACACCCAAGTTTAAAGGTTACGAGCCCTTTATTCCAGCCAAAGAACCATTTGTAATATCTTCACTACTACTATTCCACAATCGGTTCTGTTCTGCAGACGATCGTTACCTGACAATGGCCCCACCGTGGTTCCACGGCACCCCGGGGGCCTCCTCGCGGCCTCGCGGCATGAAAGGGGTGCCGTCCTGCAAATGCCACCCTAACCCGGCGTTTCTCTTTCTAAAGTATTCTGAGAGCAATCCTCTCCTGCCTCCGCGCATCAGGGAACGGCCCTCATGTCTGAACGCTTAGACAGTGACACGGCTGGGGTCTGTGTTCTGGCGAGTTCAGTGGGTCCCCGTCTGAGGCCCCCGGAGCTGGAGGGAAATGATCGCAGTTCCACAGGACTGACCTGGGACCGGGGATGCTGAAACGGTGAGTTTACAAAAAAATAAAAATAATAATAGTAATACCCAAAATAGGAAGTGCCCTTTTCATTCAAATCGGTATCGTAAGGGTGCTTTTCTCGCGCCGTGCAGGAGCTCAGGAAAGCAGATGCGTGCATTTCATAAAACGTGGAAAGCGATTCCTCACATTTGAACAAAGGGCTCATGGAGACAAGCCACAGCAAGAGGGACCTTGGACCCTGAGCCGTCCCCAAAGACCGGAGCTCTGGGCGACGCAGCTGCCTCCCCATTCCTGGACCCCATTCCTGGACCCCATTCCTGGGCCTTGCTCCTGCCTCCTCTCAACTCTCCTACTGGACTTCTGCTCCCACACTCAGCTCTGTGTGTCTTTGGGAAATCTCTTCAGCTCGTCCCTTACCGGTTACTCTCCGCCCCTCCTAACCATTTAGCCACACCCTCTGTCCACCTCTGTTCCTCACTGTAGTGACCATACCAGGCTGGAACTGGAATTTCTGCACCGCAGAGACAGAATGAAATCCATACTGTTCAGTCTGACATTAAAACGTTCCCCATGTTACGGTTCAGACTGACAAACATCAGAGGAGGGGGCTGGGGGGTGGGGGGGATGAGATAAACCAAAGAACGTATAGGCATGTACACGTAACCAATGGACATAGACAACAATGTGGGGGGGAGGGCGATCAGGAGGAGGGTGTCTAGGGGGAAAAGGAGAAACATCTATAACAAAAATAAATGAATAAAAATTGCAAAAAAAAAAGTTCCCCATGTGACCCCACCCTTCCTTTTATGCTCCTCCTCCCTCTCGTGCACCCCGTTTCCACCACACCAGACCCTCCGCCTTTCCACCAGCACATTCACACGCACAGTCCCCATCTCCGCCTCCCTCCATGACGTCCACGCTGGGTCCCTGCAGCTGCAGCCCGTCCACACACTGCCTCTGCGTTCGCACCCCATCTCAAGCCCACGTCCACAGCACCTGCCCAGCCCTGCCACCAATGAGGCCCTCCTCCTCTGCACCCCAACACCCTCTTCTCACCGCAGCGACCCCAGCACGTTTCAGTCCCCTCATTACGCGGTGGGAGAGGTCACCATTGTATCCACCTGTGCTTGTCCCACGAGGACAGTCTCCCTCCCTTTCTCGTCACTGGTTATCAGAACAAAGAAACAGCATCCAGTCCCGAGTGGTGAGGAAGGTTTCTCCCACCCAAATATCTAACGGAATCAACTGGGAACGACACTTTGCCCATGTACACTGGGGTCCAAACAATCGTGCCACGGGTATGTCTTATACAGGACAGCACCGCCTCATGGGTAGACCGAGTCCGGATAATCGGCCCCCGGTCTCCTCTCTGCGCACACAGGCGTCAGAGGTCTACTCACAACAGAAGCGTCTCTGGTAACAGAAACTCTGCCTCCGTCTCTGGAGTTTCAAACGCCAAGGGAAGCCCTGTATTTGGCTAAGTACAAATACTCTGTGACCCCAAAACTGCGATCGGATAGATGTGTTGAAACACTAGCTGTGCCCAGTTGAGGAGCAAGGTGTGGTTCTGGACCTGATGCAGTCTGTCCAGACTGAGGGAGAGGGACCAGGGCTGGCGGGGACCGAGGAAGCCGGTGGAGGGAGAGACACTGGGTTTGGTTACACGTTCTCTCCTTTCGCGTGGTGAACACGTGTGCACCCGCACTGCCTGAGACTTGTGGAGATTATCTCGATTTTAAAACGATAGGTAACTCGGCCCGGCCAGTGTGGCTCAGTGGTTGAGCGTCGACCCTGCACCAAGAGGTCGCAGGTTCGATTCCCGGTCAGGGCACATGCCCAGGTTGTGGGCCTGAACCCCAGTCGGGAGCACGCAGGAGGCAGCCAATCAATGTTCTCTCTCATCAGTGTTCCTATCTCTCTCTCCCTCTCCCTTCCTCTCTCTCTAAAATCAATAAGGGGAAAAAAAAAAAACTTTTTAAATGATAGGTTATTCAAATGTCAGAACTCCTTTGGAAAATTACCCATCACCGTCACACTCATGGTCAAGCTTTGCCCTCTCAGGTTCTGTTCCCCAAACCGTCTCCATTTGGCCCTGTGGGCACAGGGCACATGGGCACAGGGTACATGGGCACAGGGTACATGGGCACAGGTACGTGGGCACAGGGCACATGGGCACAGGGCACATGGGCACAGGGTACATGGGCACAGGTACGTGGGCACAGGGCACATGGGCGGACGCAGCACACTCTACTGAAGCTGAGATACCGCTGCTGATAGGCAGGGGGCGCCTCCTTCCTATGGGACATCCACGAAGTAGGTGGCCTATGTTTCACCCCTCTGAATTCAGGACACCTCAATTTAATATATACCTCGTGACATTTTGTTTAGCCTTCTGGACATGAACTCGAGAACTGTGTATTTTAAATTCTTTTTTTTCCTATCATAGTTCTTTAAAGAAAGTAAACGCATATAATACCACTTTCTACAAAGGTAAGTTCAGGCACAAGGGCCACTCCCATCTTCATGTCCTCTGCTCTCCGGTCCACGGTCCTAGCTCCAGTCAGTGTGTGTGACCCCCGCGCTGTGAGCCAGGCTGCTCGCCACCGCCTCAGCTGTGTTCAGGCCGAGCCTGCCACTTCGTGCCTGTCCTCCGCCAGCCCCAGCCGCCCATCCTCGCCCGTCTCGGTCCACGGCCCCTACGCCATCCACACACACACACAGACACGTGCACACACACACGTATGCACACACTCACAGAGACAGACACGTGCACACACACACGTATGCACACAGCATGCCTGTGCCAGTTAAATCATTCTTCTCCTCTAAACAGACAAGGTTCAACTCCAAAGGGGCCACCTTCATCACTCTTCCCCAGTGTCGCTGTGCTTCTCCAGCTGTTCTGTCCCTGCGTCAGTACCATGACTTCCGAGCACACCGGGCCCCTCCCTGAGACGGGGGCCCTGGAGAACAAGGGTCCCCGATCGAGCAAGCACGGTGCGTAGCTGGTTTTCTAATTGAAAAAGACCAAGCACGACCGCGCGGCAGTGACCGCTGAACCCAAACCAGGACCTCCCGCCTCGGGGTCCACTCGGCCCGAGGCCCCGCGGCGACGTCACCGCCGCTCACAGACATTCATCTTCCAGGAGCCGTGGGAGCCAGGAAGGCGGCCGTCACTTGCCTGATGCCGTGGATGTTTTTGATGGCGTAGCTTATCTCCCGCCGCAGCTCCTTCTCGTTGAACTCCATCTGCGGACAGAGACGGCCGTCAGCACACTCCCCCCGCCCGCCGCACAGGAACACCGCGGACTGGGAAGGACGGACGGCGCGCTCCGTGATTCAGAAATGGGCGCTCGTGTCTTCCCTGCTGAAACCCGCTGGAGCACATCTGCTCCTGGGAAGCTCGTGGCACCCGAGAGCACTGGGGATTTGGGGGCGTCTGTCTCAGCGCAGCAGGCTGCCGCTGTCACAGAGCGGGGTGCCGTGCACAGGGGTGCCTCCCGGGCATCTATGTGGCCACTCACTTGAAATCTGTAATTCTTCATTCTTTTGCTACATGTGAGAAAGCAGACTTGGAGGGTCCCCCGAGGGCCACAGCGGCCCAAGGGTGCTGAGATGAACAACGGCTGTGTTTTCTCCCCAACCATTATAACCACTGGGGTTCAACGCCTCTTGGTAACAGGAAATGAATAATACGTTGCCAGTCCAACACGGGGCAGGTGGCTGTGTACACATTTTGCAGAAGTTCTAGGTACCTGAAATGTTCTGGGAAGTAGGGCCAAAGGATCGTGGAGCTTATACCTGGAAGGGTATCAGAGAGCACCTGGTAGCCCTGGCTGGTTCGGCTCAGTGGTTAGAGTGTCGGCCTGCAGACCGAGGGGTCATGTATTTGATTCCCAGTCAAGGGCACGTGCCTGGGCTGCAGGTTTGATCCCTGGCCCCGTGCAGGAGGCAACCAATGGATGTGTCTCTCTCACATCGATGTTTCTCTCCCTCCCTTCCACTCTGTCTAAAAAGTAATGGAAACACATCCTCAGTGAGGGGACTAAAGGGAGCATTTGGTTTGATCTGACTCCCGAGATTCGGCCTCTCCGGCCTGTCTGTCTGTCCCTTCCCCTCGAACTTGGCACTGCACCACAACGAATGGCTTTGTCGCCCGCCCACACCCTGTGGCTGTGCTCAGTCTTCACCGGGCCTCCCTTTCTGGCTGGAATCATCTTCCCTGCCCCCACCTCCTCCTCAGCTAGCTGCTCATCCTTCCACACCGGCTCGGAAGCCAGGCTCCCTGACACTCCGGGCAGGGATCCGTGTCCGTGGGCTGTTTCCGTGACACCCTGTGCCGAAGTTCACCACTGTCCTCAGCACACTTTGATGAAACTCTGTTCACCCATCTGCCTCCCGCACCAAGACACAGCGCCTGCCTGTGTATGTGGGAAAGTAGCCCAGGCCCTGGACCACCTGGCTGCCTCCTGGGCGCCTTGCACAAAACAGGGTTCGTGCTTCCGCACAAGCTCGGCTCTGCCTCGGTTTCCCTCACTGGACGGGCACGAGCGTGCTCAGCTGTGCAAACCAAACCCTCAGGAGTCATCTCGAATGTTCTCCTTCTTGCATCCCCCAGATTCAGTCCAAGCGTTCTTCCCAAATCCTAAACCCACCCTACCTGGGCTCTTCTTTCCTCCAAATGTGTGTCCTGCTCCTTCCCTCCGTCGGCCCTGCACAGCCCCATCTGCTGGCACCTGCCTGGCCCTCGCTGCTTGTCCTGGATGACCTTGGAAAGATCCTCACAGTTGACTTTTCCACGCCATCGTGGTCACGTTTGCAATGTCCCCAACACAGACACACCTTACCTGGTCGTCCATCAGAGTGGTTCTCTCTCTCTCTCTCTCTCTCTCTCTCTCTCTCTCTCTCTCTCATCATGTTACATAATTACACTTAAAATCTTACTTTGTCTGTTTCCCCACCAGGGTCGTGTCTCTGCCCTGATCAGTGGCACCTAGCACACTGGCACAGAGTAGGTGCTCAAGAAATCTCTTTAAACTGATTAGACAACAAATCAACGCCATAGGAACGCACTGAGTATTGGTCGAAATAATGTGAGATGCCACCAGACCTCACTGGACAAAATCGGAGCCGACGGTCAGAAGCCGTTTCTCTCCTAAATGTCATGACCTGCGTGTGAAGGCTTTTTGTTCCCAGAACTGTCTTCGTCCCATCTCACGCCCGACAGGCTTCATGAACACGTATGTAGCATGGAGTGTGGGCACGGAGCGACACGGACGGGGAAAGGGGAGAGCGGCGTCGGTACAGACCTTTACGATCTCAAAAGGAAAGCGCTCGTGGAAGATGCGGTTGATTTTCGCTCCCCCCGAGAGCTCCAGGGTATCCACCTGATCCCCCGAGCCTTCGATTCTCTTCTCAAAGTCCACGGCAAACTGCTGGACCATCCTGCGCGAGAGAAGCGAGCCTGCGTTAGCGGGACAGGGCTCCGCGGTTCTCGGATTCAGGTGGCTGTCCCCTAGGAACCGTTCCCCGGGGTTCTTAGTGGCACCTGCTGGCACAATTAACATTGCACTTTGCTCAGCACTCAGAATGGAGTGATCTAGAATGCACGTTATTAAGATTCATTTTAGACATTTAATTAAAGTATGTATTCTAAACGTCCGTGCCATTCAATGCGCCCTGTCTGTTCCGTGTAGTCATGGGAGACATTTAAAAATACCCGAATTCACGTTAAGCAATAACACTCCACACAGAACCAACGAACCACGGCTCCTACGACATCATCGCTGGTGCTCCAAGGCTCCAGCGGGGCCCCCCGGCATCATAGACCTCACTCTGCCAGAAAAATGGGAAGGTGTGACCCCCCAGGCTCCCCAAAACCAGCTCTAGCCTGGCTTCTCGATGATGCCTCACAGTTTGATGATAAAACTAAAACTCCTTAACCCATCGCCCAAGATGCTCCGCAGCCTGGCCCTGGCTGCCCATCTCTCACTACTTCCGCAGCCTCCGTCCACGCCGGCCACGGAGAAGCAGCTCCCCACGTGTACCGCGTCTGCGCTTTTTCTTTCTGCACAGACTCCCGTTCTCTCGGCCCCTTGCTCCTTTAGCGGGTTCATGTCCACCTGTCCTTCGAGACTCAGTCCAAGGATTCGTTTATCTGAGGAACAACCCACGATCCGGGGTCCTACCCACCACCTCTCCTCAGTGCCACCAGGGGCTTGTCCTCGGCACCTGGCAGAGTACCTCGCGGCGCTCACCCACAGTCCCCCTCCGAGAGCAGGGGCAACGCATGTGATTTCTCTCCCACTACGCGATACGTTCAGTGCAGAAAGGGTTACCTTCGGGGGGTGCTAAACACCAACAACGAAATACACCCCAGGGAGAGAGACCCATGCGTGCGTGCAGGTCCAGAAACTCCAATTCTGACGTGCTGAGACTCCCTTCTCATTCGAAATCCAATAGGAACCCATTCGAACCAGCTAGAACTTGCAGCATTTTTGTCAAAATCATGGAGAGATGACCAGTACCTGCCGGTGATTTGGCCAGAAACTCTGGAGCATGATGGGATGTAGCTAGAGCCATATTCATGCATATGTTGCTCATCTGATGTCTTAAATGGGTAACGTGCATGCTGGAACACGGGGGGATCTTAGGAAACAGACGCCCCGCCCTTCTTTCCCATCCCGACACAGCCAGTCCACGCGACACGGAAGTCCACGCTGTCCTCGCCCTCCTCCCGCCCCATAGCCTCCTCCCTGTTTCAGGGTCTCAGTCAAGTTCACTTCTGCTGGGACCTGACCGCCTCGCTCCCTGTCCCTGGTCTGCTGGGACCTGACTGCTTTGCTCCATGTCCCTGGTCTGCTGGGACCTGACTGCTTTGCTCCCTGTCCCTGGTCCGCTGGGACCTGACCGCCTCGCTCCCTGTCCCTGGTCTGCTGGGACCTGACCGCCTCGCTCCCTGTCCCTGGTCCGCTGGGACCTGACCGCCTCGCTCCCTGTCCCTGGTCTGCTGGGACCTGACCGCCTCGCTCCCTGTCCCTGGTCTGCTGGGACCTGACCGCCTCGCTCCCTGTCCCTGGTCTGCTGGGACCTGACCGCTTTGCTCCCTGTCCCTGGTCCGCTGGGACCTGACCGCCTCGCTCCCTGTCCCTGGTCCGCTGGGACCTGACCGCCTCGCTCCATGTCCCTGGTCTGCTGGGACCTGACTGCTTTGCTCCATGTCCCTGGTCTGCTGGGACCTGACTGCTTTGCTCCCTGTCCCTGGTCCGCTGGGACCTGACCGCCTCGCTCCCTGTCCCTGGTCTGCTGGGACCTGACCGCCTCGCTCCCTGTCCCTGGTCCGCTGGGACCTGACCGCCTCGCTCCCTGTCCCTGGTCCGCTGGGACCTGACCGCCTCGCTCCCTGTCCCTGGTCCGCTGGGACCTGACCGCCTCGCTCCCTGTCCCTGGTCCGCTGGGACCTGACCGCCTCGCTCCATGTGCCTGGTCTGCTGGGACCTGACCGCCTCGCTCCCTGTCCCTGGTCTGCTGGGACCTGACCGCCTCGCTCCCTGTCCCTGGTCTGCTGGGACCTGACCGCCTCGCTCCCTGTCCCTGGTCTGCTGGGACCTGACCGCCTCGCTCCATGTCCCTGGTCTGCTGGGACCTGACCGCCTCGCTCCCTGTCCCTGGTCTGCTGGGACCTGACCGCCTCGCTCCCTGTCCCTGGTCTGCTGGGACCTGACCGCCTCGCTCCATGTGCCTGGTCCGCTGGGACCTGACTGCTTCGCTCCCTGTCCCTGGTCTGCTGGGACCTGACCGCCTCGCTCCCTGTCCCTGGTCTGCTGGGACCTGACCGCCTCGCTCCCTGTCCCTGGTCTGCTGGGACCTGACCGCCTCGCTCCATGTGCCTGGTCCGCTGGGACCTGACTGCTTCGCTCCCTGTCCCTGGTCTGCTGGGACCTGACCGCCTCGCTCCCTGTCCCTGGTCTGCTTCCTCTCTGGCCCCTCACATTCTGTACCTACCAGACAGGCACATCGATCGATTCGCAATCACGTGTCTGTTTCCTCTGCTCTACTGTGGCTTCTTCCTGAGGCCAAAAATCTTAGCCACTGTTGAACCCCCAGACCCAGTCCCCAAGCAGAAGACACAGAGATGAGAGGAAGATGGGAAGCGGGCAGAAAGGGAGGAAGGAAGAAAATAGGAAGAGAAGGAGGTGGGGGGGGGGAGAGGGGGAGGAGCCGAAGCACTCGTCTGTGAGGGGATCTAACTGCGGAAAAGTCTGTCATCTGAGTCATCTGTGTCCGTGGTGTCACAGAGGCAGGACCCGGTCTTCGCAAGGACAGTAGTTTCGGTTGGATGTTAGGATGGTGACCTGGGGCCTCGACAGAAATCGCTTTCCTTTCTCTGTAACTGGAGGAGTTTGTACGGGTGCTTAACCCAAGCCAAGAATTAAAAAAAAAAAAAGTCAACTAGGAAAAAGTTGAATTCAAGGAAAAATGATTTCCTCTGTATGATCTCATGTTTTTTAAATGGGATAAGATGATGCATAGAAAATGCTACCCAACTAATTTGAGCATTTAGAAATCTCCCCACAGAGAAAGGAATTACACTGTGTGTTTTAACCAAATTAAGGGTATTTTGCCTGCAAGACTGCAGAGAAAGGAGGAGGCCATGAGAGGTGGCGTCATCTTTGCACATGGACTTCAGACGTCCTGGAGTGTAAACTGGGCCAGGGGTGGACAGTCTTCTGGTTGAGGGGGACCTGAGGCAAGTTCCCGTCCAGGGATCAAAGCACCGATGTGGCTGGAAGGGACCGGGAGAGGGAGTCAGGGTGAAGGGCACGAGGAGCTGTCGTTCTCTGACGGGCCGCGATCCCACCCCGCGGCCCACGGGGGAAACCAGTAACCAAGGAGAAGACTGTGAAGGAGGAAAAGATTCCTGGCGGTTTTCACGTTCGCGTTTTCAAAGGGCTACTGAACACCACGGTCGACAAGGACACAGAACTGACACTGTGTCTGTGCTTTCTATCCAATCCCCGGTTCCCATTCCACCGAAAGCCCCACGCAGGTCACGCGGGATGACCGACAGGAAAAGGTGACCACGGGCGAAGGCAACGGAAGCGAGCGGTCGTACAGTGCAGGGGACACTTCCACGCGGGCCTGCCCACTTCCGGTTCTTAGGGCAAAACCCCTGCCGAGGGGGCACATGGGTTTTACCCCCTGACTGAATCCAAGCACAAAAACGCAATAAAACTAGGCGCGGGGGTGGGCAACTGGTGAAATTCATAGCAGCCGAGGAAGACCAGCGACTGCTCTTCAGGAAAACAGGGAGCAAGGCTCGCCGGGTCACATACACAAAGCCTCAAGTATTGACTTCTGCTTCGGGTCTGCCTAGAACACGTGACCGGGGACAGACCGAGGCACTGGCCAAGGGAAGAACTGTGGGCCGGAGGGGACGGGGGAGGCTCACTGCAGCAGGGCTTTGGTCTTCCTGGTGGGGTCCTCCGGCTTGAAGCTCTTGTAGGCGTCCACTTCGTGTTCTATGGAGAGCAGCTGGGCCTGCAGTTTGTTCCTGAAGGTTGGCAGGGTGTCTCGGATGTGGTTGGTAAGTTGCTAAATAAAACAAAACAAAGTCACACACACAGATGACAGGTGGAAGACGAGCTCGTGAGACACAAGCCGGCCCTCACTGTTTCCCTGATCCCTGCAGACTTAGGAAATGGTACACGCAGTGCAGACTGGGCCTGGGGTCAGGAGCAGCTCTGAGCCTCTCCTCCGCTGCCCGAGGCCACGCTCAAACGACCTCAATTAGAGGCACTCGCTGGGGCCAACTGGTAGACCCCGGGCAACTGCAGCTGACGTTACTAAGGAGGCCGCCTGGTAACACCTGGCATGGGTTGAGGCTCAGATCACTTACCTTGTTGAAAAACACCTGAAGTTACAATGTGGTGAAAATGGAAGAAGTGGAGAGTTACAGGGGCTGCCTGACATTCTCAGGACCACATGGCTGGCCACCCTGGTGGCGCTCAGAGACATCTGTCAGCCGTGAACCATCTCTGCGTTCTGCAGCCACACAGGTGCTTGCTCTCATCTCTACCTCTAGGCCCCGGTCTAACTGTGCTGGGCCCCTGGCCAATGCCTTCTACAGGCTGCATATAGAAGTGTGTGCTAGGCCTGGCCGGTCTGGCTCAGCGGTTAGAGCATCAGCCTGTGGACCAGAGAGTCTTGGGTTCAATCCAGGTCAAGGGCACATGCGTACTTCGGTTGTGGTTTAATCCCCGGTCCTGGTCAGGGTTGTGTGAAAGGCAACCAATTGGTGTCTTTCTCACATCAATGTTTCTCTTTCTCTTTCTCTCTCTCTCTCTCTCTCTCTCTCTCTCTCCCCCCTCTTTTCCTCCCTCCCACTCTATCTGAAAATCAATGGGAAAAGATCCTCAGGTGAGGATTTAAAAAAAAAATGCGTGCCAAATGTTCACTGTCCCTCCAGAAGCATTTCTGTATTGAGCACTGTTCTTTCAATAACATTGAGGTGGATGATTCTATTCAAGAGAATAGTAACAGTGTGGATCTATTTATACTTGTTTTTTAACTCCTATCATTTAAGCTACGTGCCTTATGTTAGAAAATAAAAGAATGTAAGAATTAGAAATACGAATTTCAACAGTCACATATCTCCTAGTTGTTCTCGTTGCTTGAAAACGCATTTTTACCTGATTAAGGACCTTCTGCAGGTGTGGGGTCCCCATCCGATCGGCTATGTGCCTATACGCCGGGTGTGAGAGGAAGAACTTCCTCTCCGACAGCATGGCTGCCTTGACGTCCTTCTTCCCGTCGATGTCCTTCTGGCTTCTGTTCACCACCCCCACGTACCCTGGAACCGAACACACATGGTGTTGGGGGCACTCTTTGTGGCGTGTTTGGAAGCGATTTCAAGGCTCTCAAAGAGGCTAGGAAAGGCAACATTATTTTCCAGGCCTGAGGATGGGTCCCCTTACAAAACTCAATTCGAGACGTCAGGATTTAAGAAGGCTGGCCAGTTTGGCTGGTGACAGTTTTTAACATTAACACGATAATGTCTTTAGCCCTTAAAAGCTCTGCATTTTAATGGAGTAGGTTTCTTAGCAGTTTTGTCAAATATGGGCAAGTCGGTCGGACTTAGAAGAGAACAGTATGTACCAGGCATCCCCCCCCAAAAAAATATCAGGGTGTCTGTAGATTCTATTACATTTTGAAAATGAAAGGTACTTCAATAAACACTGGCTTTATAATTACTCAAAGTTGTATCTGCCCCTTGGGGGGACACCGTGTTTACGCGGTCTGTGGATATGTATACCTTCCCTTCCAGCCCCTTCCTTTTCCTATTTTCTCACTGCTGTTACGGTGAGAACAGTTTCCCCCAAGGACGTCCTGCGTGGGACACAGTACGTTACCCCTGCGAAGAGGCAGCAGCTTGTTCTCCAGAATGTCCCTGGCATCCGTCCCCTCATCCATAAGGTCCAGCTTGGTGATGACGCCAATGGTTCTCAGACCTGTAGCACAAACAGGCCCGGCATTGCACGGTTTGCAGAACACTCACAGTGTGGAGACACGTTTGTCCCCACGCTAAACACAAAACTCTCCAATGCCTGGGCCGGCTCCTCTGTGTCGCACTTTATGTCCTAATCTGCTGCTGCCCGGCCTGGTGAACTTCAGTGTGATGAAGCAGGGAGTTGTGAAACCACCCAGCCATAAGGTAACTTTCTATGCAACAGACAGAAAAATGAACAGCTGTATCACCAAAATGCATTTTAAATTCATGAGCTTATTTTTGTACTGGGCGTACATGGAAATCATACATTGACATTTCCTCCCAAGCACTGCACGCCGTATGGATGCTTACGTTTTTTCACGTAGGGCATGATTTAAAAACACAAACAGACACGCTGCCCAGGCCCAGTGGTGAGAGTGTGTTCTAAATCAAGGCTTATTACTGATCCGGTTCTGAGCGCTGAGGTGGGAACATAGGGAGAAGAAAATTGGATGTAGGAGAGTGTCATACCCAGGAATAAATGTGCAAGTCTCGAAGCATTTACTGTTCTTAGAAAAGGAAATACGACTTGATGGTGAAAGACTGAGCGAGGGATCCTGGACTCTAGTCTCCAGGCGAGTCCCTTAGCTCTCTGGGCCTCAGTTTCCCTCATCTGTTCAATACAGACAATCTCAAGGTTCCTCTCAGTAGTAAAACAATGTAAAAATCTAGTAAGAAGCCAAAACCAATAAGCATTATGAAACAGAACTTGGAGAAAACAAAGATAATGCAGAAATACAGGGGGAAAAAAACACACCTTATCATTTTTATTAATCTCCTCAGTGAGAAAGGAGAGGTCACTGAATTTATGGTACAGAAACAGAATATCATGGGGAAAAAAACACATTCAAACAACCAAAATTCTCAATAATTAAAAATATGAGAGCGCGAATAAAAATGTTAGTGGAATGGTTGGAATACAAAGTGAAAAGCCCTTCTAGAAAACAAAAGGAAAATAAGTAAACAACAGGAAAGGAAAATATTTTTTGAACGAGAGAAATGGTGCAGAAGATCCAATATCTGAATAGCTGACGTTCCGATAGGAGACTGGGGGTCAAACAGAACAGTTAGGGGTGGGGCACATAGTCAGGAAAATGAGCATTAAATGAAAGATGAATCTACGGACTGTTGGTCGTCAAGTACCCACCACAGTATAAAAAAACAAAGACACGCAGAACATGGCCTGTCAGTATATGATTTCAAAACACTGAGAACAAATAAAATATCCTAAAAAGCCCCCAAAGCAGTTTAAAATAAAAAGAAAATAACCTTTTAAAAAAGGTCTGGGAATCATTATAGCCTCAGTTTTCCCAGCAGCAAATTGGAAACTACAAACCGACAGAGCAATGTTTTCCAAATTCCAAGGGAAAAATCATTTCAAACCTAGAATTCTAAACCACCAGTAAATGTGATTGTAAGAAAAGAAAAGATAACCAAAGACCTGCAAAATCTCAAAAAGGAGAAACCTCCCTTTCTCCTCTTTTGGGAGGGAACTACGAAAGGATGTGTTCTACCAACACGGGAGCAAACGAGCCAGAAGACAGGAGACCGGGAAGCAGGGTCTCCAACTACCCGAGAAAAGGAGGAGGGTCCCAAGACAGGCCAGGAGAGCCACCAGTATCTGTGGGAACGAGAAGACACAGATTCCCGAAGCAACGTCTTCCTCCACCGAGACAAAGAAGATGAAGGTCACAGGATATGCCTAAGCTGTTTGAAGGTATTCAGAGGTTGCGACTTCTGAAGGGATGCATTGTGATGGACACGTGGAAGATTATCCAACAGAGAGCCAACTATCAATCTCAAAGAAGACAGCCGCATGGAAATGTAATCATAGCTGACCGCGTGGCTCAGCTGGGAATAACATTTTCAGAAGCATAAATATTCATTTAGCAAAATTTGACGGTATAATTACATTAGCCGAACGTGAGGGCTAAGTGTATGTATGTATGTGTAAGTATATGCAGGTACGGGAGACGGATATGGAACAGCTGGGTCTTTTCTACAGCAGGAAGTCAAAACAGAATATCTAAAAATAAAAATAAATCAAGAAGTAGTAGTATAAAAAGACTGCAAAAAGATACGGAAGTGAATACAGAAAAAAAAAAAAGACCAAAAGTGTTGAAAGCAGTAGCCTCTGAAAATAAGTACCAAGAGTTGGGAAGAACGAGGAAGGGACTAAGAATTTTGATTAAAAAGCTTTGGGGCTGATTTTTCCAAGCGAAGTACATTGAAGACGTTAACAGAAATGAAAGCTGAATTTAAAAGCATGTTCTTTTACTCCCTTGGCAGAAGGCAGAGGAGTCGACGCCCAAACACGGCAAAGGACATCGCTGTCTCTTTCCCGTGTCGTGATACGAACGGGCAGCTTCAGGTCATCAGTGAAGTCCTGCCCCCAGACTGCAGACCCACACTGACAGCTCTCAAAGCCTCGGCCAGAAGGGTGTCCAAGGCGGCAGGTCTTAAAGGCACCTCACTGGAACCTAAAGACTCAGATAAAAATAATAATAGAGACCAATTACTGAGCTCTGATTGTGAGCCCGCCTCATCCAGGACTCGAAATCACTCTGTGCGGTGGGTGCTAGTAGTTCCTCAATTACACAGATGAGACTTGGAGAGGAACGTATGCTGTGGAAAGGCTCACAGCCCGTGGGGCGTGAAGTCCAGGCAACCGAATTCCATGCTTCATCGCTGTATTTCCCTGCCTCCCGGTTCTTCGCTAGATCCTGCCGCGATCCGCTGTGCTCTTTGGCAGGTTTGTTACATCGTGTGGGCCTGCTTATTACAGAACCAAAAGTTTCCCTGGTGTCTCTTCCAAGTCCAGAATTCTGGGACGGAGAGCAACTTCCAGATGCAGAAGGGGTTCGATAGATAAAGTAATAAACTAGAGAGTAATTTAATAAAGCGATTGCCCTCCAATTCAAAAGGAAAACAAATCACAGATCAGGAGCGAATAAGTGACGTGTGATATTGTTTCAGTTACGTTTCTCTTCAGGAAAGAACAGCCACGAGGATGCGGGCTGATGAGTTCTGGCGAAGGCCTTTCAAAGACACCCAGTCACACCAAAAATCTGGTTCTTATACAGCCTCGAGGCCAGGAGCACTGACCCAGGCTGCTTGGGTCCAAGGCCCACCTGGGCCTCTTACCAGCTCCGAGACGGAAGTGTCCTCGTCAGGGGAGGCCACGTCAGTGGTGGACCATCTGTCAGTTTACCTGATGCCTGGAATAATTAGTAACAGCATCCCTCTAACTCTCAAAAAACTTTCTATTTGAAGAATGAGTTATATATGTTCACTGTAACTCATCAACAGTGGCAAAAATAACACACCTATCTTCCTTTCTTTTCTTTTTTTTATCCTCACCCGAGGACATTTTTCCATTTTTGTTCAGATAGAGTGGGGAGGGAGAGAGAGAGAGAGAGAAACATCGGCGTGAAAGGGACACATCTAGTGGCTGCCTCCCGCACGACCCCAACCAGGGCTGGGGTGAACCGCAACCGAGGTATGTGCCCTTGGCCGGAATTGAACCCGTGACTCATTGGTCCGTGGGCTGACGCTATAACCACCGAGCCTAACCAGCCAGGGCAACAAACCTCTCTTTCCAAATTAAATGACAGCACCTCCAGTTTCCAGTTTAGCCTGCGAGGACTTTGGAAGTCACCACTGTGCCCTAACAGTAAGGCAAAAGCAGAACAGACTGAGAAATCAACCACCCTTCTTAGATTCTTCAGAGAAGTGGGGTCACAAAGCACTGCCCCCCAAATATGGAGAGACGAACAGATGTGAACCAACATTCACCACCCAGAAGCAGAAAACTGCGAGGGAACCAGGCCCAGGTAGGAGAAGCGGTAACTGATGAACGGCTGGAAGTTCCGTGTGGACAGACTCAGAGTCGAGAACCCCGGGGGGCCAGGCATGTGGGTACCCATACTTCTGCTAGTTGTGCCTCCAGGAGCTTGACCATGATTATCTGAGAAAAAGCCCCTCGTGTTTCTGGCACAGGGGAGAAGACGAACAACCTGATTTTTGGAATGGGTGAAATCAACCACGCCCGAACAGACACCTGTCCAGAGAACAGGTACCAACGGCAAGGGTGTCCCTGAGAAGCTGCCCGGGCCCTAGGTCATCAGGGGAACACGAAGGAACGCTACAGTGAGGCCCTGCTACACGCCTCCCAGGGGGGCCCAAGTCCAAAACCTTACACCGCCACATGCTGGCGGGGATGAGAAACAAAGGACCCCCCACCCCCACCCATTGCTGGTGGGAGCGCAGAATGGTGGCTGCTTTGGGAGGTAGCTCAGCAGTTTCTTACAAAACGGAACGGACTCTTCCCGGGGGATCCGCGCGTCACGCTCCTCAGCATCCACCTGAAGCGGCTGAAGTCGCGCCCGCCCCAGAACTTGGACACAGATGTCTGCGGCAGCTGTATTTATTCCCAAATGGAAGCAACCGAGATGTCTGTCAGCAGGTGATTGGATAAAGGAGCTGTGGTCCATCCAGACAACGGAATATTAGTCTTTGCCGGAAAGAAATGAGCTATCAAGCCGTAAAAGGACAGGAGGACCCTTAAATGCCCATGACTACATGACAGAAGCCGTCGGAAAGCCTGTATAGAATAGGATTCCAACGACATGACATCCTGGGCCAGGCCAAGGGACGGGGGCCACAAGAAGATTGGTGGGGGCCGGGGGCAAGGGGAGGCAGGCATGAAGAGCAGAGCACAGGTGTTTGGGGGCAGGGAGGCTGTTCTGCACGAGAGGACAACGGTGGGTCCGTCAGTACACATCTGTCAAGGCCCATCGAAAGCACAACACCAAGAGTGAGCCCTAAGGTAAACTCCGGACGCTGGGTGGTCGTGATGTGACTGTAGGTACGTGGACTGTAACGAATGCACCCCTCTGGCGGGGATGTTAACAGTGGGGAGCGGGGCTGTGCACGGTGGGGACAGGATGTATACAGGAGCTC